CAGCGACTTCGCGCCGAACAGCTGCGCGTCGTCCGAGAACACGCCGTCTTCAGGCAATTTCACGTTTACCGCGGCGTTGCCGACGCGCAGCACGTGCGCCCGCGCTTCTTCCATCAACTGGCTAAGGCTGTTTTTCAAAACGCAATTCAGCGAGTCCTTTGCCTCCTTCAATTGCTGCACGGTGAAACAGTCGCTCGGGTTCGCCAACTCGTGCAAGTAAATGCAGCGCGGGCTGCAGCAGCGCGAACCGCTGAGAAAACTCAAACAGTACTTGGTAGCTCCGCACGACGCTTGCACGGTGCAGCCGTCGAGCTCGCGCCCATCGAGGTCCATGATCGCGAGCGCAGCAGAAACGTCCGACTCGAAAGTCACGTACACAGCGCAGCTTCGCACCATTAAAGCGCCTTTTAGCGTTGAAACCGGTCGCACCGTCAGGTTGCGAACCTTGCCGTAGCGCCCAAAGTACTTGGAACCGCCGAGCAGCTCCTTCCGCTCAAACAGCTCGCAGGGCAGCCCGACGGCGTAGCACAAATTGCGCTGGATAATGCGCACATCCTTTAGGTCGACGCCTCGCAGCTTTCCGTGTTCAATTTCGCGCGCACAAGGATTTTCGAATTTATTAACGATTTTGCAACGAAACAGTCCGTCTGCTGCTTTGCCGCAACTCCCGTTAGTCCACGTTTGGAAATCGGGACCTTTGGGGTATTCGGGTTCGCAACTGCCCACTGTCATAGTGCTTACGCATTTGTATTAAAAAAATTCGTCCGCCGAAATTAACTTTTTTATCTAATAATATGAAAATGAGTGCGACGTTCGCCCGAGCGCGCTGCCGAGCGATTTACCGCAAGTGCACACGCCGACACCTAAACTCTGCATGTTAATTTTTCAACTTGATGGCGCTCCTCGCTGGTGAACCCCGACCGCAGTCGCGCGATGCAAGCGACGACGACGACAGCGCACACACACCTGCATCGCCTGGGTTCGTGAAAGAAGTCGCGTCAAAGTTTGTGCAGAAGATGCCGAAGCCGCCCACTGAGCCCGAACAGGCCGGATCGAAATTTGGTTCGGTCAAGTTGAACAGCTTCCTCCTCAAAGACCGCAAAGCGGCTACCGTCAACGTCGCTGTGAAAACCTCGGTGGCAGATCGGTACCTGAAAAATCTGAGCTCCGGACAGCGATCCGATAGTTCGGAGTAACTGACCGTACCGGCGCATCCTTTCGCCGCGAGCTCCGACGCACTGGCTGCGCTTGTGCTCGACAGCAGCGGGTGGAGCGACTCAGCTTAAGCGTCCCAAGGCAGTTAGGCTGCGTCCACCTGCGTAGCACAGCTTGCACCTGAGCCACAGCTGAGCAGCAGCGTAATTGTTGCTGCCGTTTATAATGAACGTGTAGAATTTAATTAGCATGCAGAGCCCTCCTGACGATGCTCTTGCAGCTAAAGAGTACAGGACCCATCGCGCTGTTTCGCTCGTTGGCGCAAGAGAACAAGTCGATGATTATCATCATTCACTACATCATTCTCGCCGTGATTATTTTAGGCTATGTCAGTAAGTGTGCGCCGCTGCGAAGCAGACGCCACGCTTACTTCGAGCAACGTAATGCTGCTGCACTTCAAATTGATGCACTGCTTCGCTAGTAAGTTGCAGCTCGCTCCACGTAGTCACCTGTCTAATTAACATCGTGCTGCAGCAGTATTACTTAAACCGCCTGAGCAACAAGGGATTGACGCCTCAGGAGCTACTGCGAAACACACTAACAGTTATTTCCGTGGAGTGCGTACTGTTCCTCGTACTCGCGACGTGTAGGTTATTGCGACACCTTCGCAGCACTCGGGTTCTGCGTGAACTATTACGGCAAAAGCGATCCGTACTACGACTCATTCTCCGCGTTCTACGAGAGTTCGACATACGACTTGTGCGCTGTCGGCATCACGCTGCTGCTCGACTTCGCACTGAGCGCCATCTCTTACCTGGTCACTTATGCTTCGTTGATAAACTAGAGGCTAGCGTCCGAAACGCACAGCAGTCTAACAACCGCGCTATTTGCCGCAACATAATTTCATTTCAAACTTGCTTCGCCGACAGCGTGCCAGCTAACTGCGGCGCAAACGCCGCAGATGCTCTTGCGGTTCTCTCTATAAAATTTTCCATTATCATATTACAGCATGGCTCCGTCCGAGTTCCTCACCGTGAAGTTTTTCGGAGGGCTTGAGGAGTACCTTTACGAGCCGACAAAGACACTCAACGTCGATCGCAAATACGCGCAAAACTTGCATGCGCTGCTGCAGCACTTGAGCGACTCGCAACTGAAGCCGGAAGCGCGACAGTACCTGCTGAGCCCCCGTAAGTGCTTTCGCTCGCCGAACCTAGCGCATGCTGCGCCTTGCGTTAATTCGGCGCACAGTCAATCACACATGTAGATCACGAGGGCCGCCTCCGCAGCGGCATTCTAATACTGTACGACGGCGTGGACAGCGAAGTTTACTCCGATTCGGAAGCTGAAAAGTATAGCAAGCCGCTGGGCACAGTTCGACAAGTCGAGCTGATCAGCACGCTGCATGGCGGCTAAGCCTAAAAAGCATGAATTTTTGCGAAGCTGAAATGCTGGTCAAAGCAATTATTTTAAAAATTTAGGATGCAAACACACGTAAATACAGCACACACTTCAACTTATTCGTGTGAAGAAATTCCTTTATTAGCTAACCAGATCAAAAGTACTTCGGCCGAACTGCAATCGCGCATGGAGGCTGTCGACATGAACATAACAAACTCTTCGGCAGAGCCCGGTCTGCGCAGGCAGTTTACGGGGCACCTGACGAAGGAAGGCGAAGTTAAATGGGAAAGCTACCAGGTGTACAAGGCGCGCATCCTGTACTCTGTGCTGACAGTTACGCTCTGCTCGCTGATCATTGGATTCAATATAGCGGTCACGAACAACTTAATTTCGTACATTTCGTGGGACCGCGGCTGGTGCAAGAGCGACGGCGAAATCGAAGGTTGCTCTTACTTCACGGTGGCGAGCGCCTTCGTAAAAGTTTCCGCACTCGCCGGGATGGCGCTCGGCGCACTGTTCGGGCCCAAGTTCACTAAGTATGGCCGTCGAAAGACGATGCTGTACAGCTTGGCGGTGTTAATGGTATTGTGCCTGCTTTCTGCAGTCGGCCTGCACTTGGCAGACATTGTTGTGCTCCGCTTCTTAGTTGGCGTGTTTTGCGGGTTCTTCTGTTCGCTGGTGCCAATCTACATCAGCGAAGTTTCGCCAGCAGACAAGCGCGGCAAGTACGGCATACTGCACCAGCTGTTCCTGACGTTCGGCATTTTGCTGAGCTCGCTTATCGCCGTGCCGCTGCCCGCGGCTTACCCCATCGACAACGTGTACTCTGAAGCGCCCATGTTCGTTTCGGTGTACTGGCGCGTCAACATGGCAGCATGCGTGCTGCCGTGCGTCATCGCCTTCCTCTTGTTGTGGCTGTGCTTTGACTACGAAACTCCGTTCTACTACTACGACAAAGGACAACAGGAAGACGTGAAAAAACTGCTCGCGCTTAACTACTGCCGTCCGAACGTTGAGAAGGAGTACGCGGATTTAGTGAACGCCGTCAAGATGAACGAAAATTTGGCGGCGAAGAAGGTCGGCTTGCTAGACGGCCTGCGCTCTGCAAGTTTCCGTACCGTAATTCTTGTCGCAATAGCGATCAACATCTCCCAGCAGTTAACGGGCATCAACATCTTCATGACCAGCTCGAACGCGCTGTTTGTGTCCGCTGGTCTCTCTGGCGTGTGGCCGACTATAGTGACGGTGCTCATGAACGCGCTGAACAGTTTGATGACCTTCGCGCCCGTGTACTTAATAGAAAAGAAAGGGCGCAAATGGCTGCTGGTTGCTGGTTCCATTGGAATCATCGTTAGCGTGCTGCCGGCAACAGTGCTGTTTTGGCTGCTCGGCACGGAACATAAAGCCAGTCAGATTTTGGCCATCGCAGGCTCGCTCTTGTTCATCTGCTTCTTCGCAGCCACGTTCGGCGGCGTCGTGTGGGTGTACACGTTCGAGATTTTCCCGGACGAGCTGCGCATGAGTTGCGCGGGGGCATGCGTCTCGATCAACTGGCTGACGGGTATTGTGCTGGTGTTCGTCGCGCAGTATGTCGGCATACGCACGAACTTCACGATCTTCACGGTTCTAAACATACTCGTGCTGGCGTTCTGCGTCTTGTGCATCAAAGAAACAAAGGGATTGCCGCTGGGCAAATCTCCGTACATTAAAGAGGCCGAGACGCCCGCAGCTAAAATTTAAATCGCTTGCTGTTCACATTTAAATTTCAACATCGCACGCCCAAAATTTTGATTGTGAGATGGGAGCTTGTGGGTCGAAGACGAGACGCGAATGTGTGCCCGCGCAGCCGGCGGCGCCGCAGCGCCAGTACACGGCGGAGTTGGCGGAAATAGCGCAGAAGGTAGGTGTTTGCGGACGCCACACAGGTGTCGGACGCTGAGTTGCGGAGCGCGCAGCTGAGCACCGAACGCGATAAGCTGCGCGTCAAGTTGCGCGACGAGTCGTAGCGCTGTTAAGCATGTAGTTGCACTTAGTTTAAATCAAATATACAGTGTCTCCAATGATCATCACGCGGTTGCTGTCCTGCAACGCGGCGAGGTGCTGGCGCAGCTCCTGCTCGGAAGCAACGAGGCGCTCCGCGACGCATTTGTCGAGGAGCTCGGCCAGCGCCCAACAGTCGCGCTCCTCTTGTTTGAAGAGGTCGAGGATGTAGTCGAGCAGAGCGGTAGGTGCCGAGGAGAGCCGCGCCGCGGCGCGAGCGTCAGAGCCGGAACGCGGCGTCCGCGTGTAGCGGATCTTCGCGGAGTCGAAAATGGGTGTGTGCAGCGGCACTGCGGACTCGTTTTGCGCGGGCCGCGCACGCTTGTCGCCAGGAGCGGCCTGCTGTTCTTCAAACTCGGAGTCGTCGAAGCCGAGATGCGTGAGCAGCACCAGCTTTTTGGCCTCTTCGACGTCGGCGGCGTCAACGGCAGGCTTCATCTTCAACTTGGCGTGTGCGGTGGCTAACCGAATGCAGGCTTCGAGCAGACGCGGCGTCGGCGTGGTCTCGCGCGCCTTGTCTTTCGCCTTGCGCTTCATGATGCGGTCTGCGATTTGCGCGCGCAAAAAGCTGTAGAAGTTTGCAATTTCCTCGACGGACTCGTCGGTGAGCACGGGATTAATGTTGAAGCGGCAGTAGGTAAGGTAGAGCTTCAGCACGTCTGTGGCGACGATCGCGCGAATGCCCGCGGGAAACGCGAAGTCCGGGTCGAGGTCTTGCGTGGAGTGGCGCGCCCAAACGTTCAGCAGCTCCTCTTGGCGCGGACCGCGCTGCTTCGGCGGCTGCACGACGTCGCCCGCCGCGTCGCCGCTCGTCTCGCCGCGCGCGGCAGTGCCTGCGCGCATCTGCGCAAGCACCTGCCGCGCGATGCGCTTGTCAGTCGCAGAGTCCAGCGACTCGAGCACGTAAAAGATCAGGTCGAAGCGACTCAGCAGCGAGTCGGGGAAGTTGACCTGCTTCAGCACGTCGACGTTTTGGTTGAATGTGCCGTGAAGCGGGTTCGCAGCGGCGAGCACGCTGGTGCGCGCGTTCAGCGTGGCGCTGAGCCCTGCTTTATTGATGCTGACACTCTGCTGCTCCATGATTTCGTGCACCGCCACGCGGTCGTCGTCGTTCATCTTGTCGAACTCGTCGATGCACACGAGCCCGCCGTCCGCGAGCACCATGGCGCCGGCCTCGAGCCGCCGACCGCCGGTCTCCGGGTCGACAATCACGGCGGCGGTGAGTCCGACCGCGCTGCTGCCGCGGCCCGTCGTGCTGATGCTCAGGTTGGCAAGCTTCATCATGAAGCGCAGCATTTGCGACTTGCCGCAAGAAGGGTCGCCGATCAGCAAAACGTGAATGTCGCCGCGCAGCCGAATGTTATCGCCGCTCGAAGTGCACGAGCGACCGCCGGCCAGCTGCAGCGCGAGCGCCTTGCGGATGTTGATGTGCCCGCAAATCGACGGACAGATGCTGTGCGCGAGCAGCGTGAGCGTGCGCGGGTGCTCGGCGATCTCCTTGAGCTGCGCGAACTGCGCGTCGGTGAAGCTGGTGTCGACGTGCCTAATGCCTATCTGCGCCAGGTGGTTCGCGACGATGTAGTGTCGCGCGTGCGAGCCGACGGTGCGCTGCTTCTTGTTGGTCGCACATCGCAGCACGCCCGTGACGCACACGCGGTTCCCGGGGGTGCAGCAGTCGACCAAGTCGCTCTCGCAAACCACGTCGATCGAGCGCGGCAAGTGCCCCGCGGGACACGTCTCGGGCACTTCCTGCAGCGTGATCACCTGCAGGTTGCGAAAGTGGCTCAGTCCGTACTCCAAATCTAGCAGTGCGCCCTCCTGATCGCGCGTGAGGTCGTAGACTGCAGTCGCGGACTGCAGCGCGCGCGGCTTCACCGAAATAGGGTCCGGATGTTCCACCACGACGTAGCGATCTCGGTTCGACGCAAAGTACACGGCCTTCAACATGCGCGCGTTGACGTGCGTCGCCTTCGTGACGATGCCCTCCACGGAAAGCAGCTTGTTCACAAAACTCGCGTTGAGGCCGCGCGGCGTCACCGAGCGCGAACCCAGCCAGCCGCAGATGCCCACGCGCAGCGGCTCCGCCTTTAGCGAGAGCAGCTTTGAGCTGCGCGCACGCTGCGCCTCGCCCAAGTTCGTAGCCATATCTCCGACCGCAGCCGCAAGCGCGTAATAGTACTCGTAGGGAAACTCTTGCAGACCGCTGCCGAGTCCGTCCACGATTTGCTCGAGCGCGTTGATGTTTAGCGCGACGCGTTCTTCGCCCTTATCGATCGCTTTCGAAACGCAGTTGATCACGGTGTTAGACTAAGCGCGCGCTTTCGAGACTTACGTTCATGAAACTAGCTTCGATCGTGTCTTTGATTTTTACGTGGTCCAGCACGTCGGCTGCGTACAGCTCGGCCTGCGGCGACACCAGTGACATGTCGACTTTGACCCCAGTAGCTCAAACCGACTGCAGCCTCTGCGACGACTGCGCTAAACGCCGCTTACTGCCGTTGCAGCGAAATTAGTAAATTGCTATTCTCACGATTTAGAGTTTAAATTCGCACTCACCGACACCCAAAACAAAATTTGAAAAAATTCGAACCACACAGCGGTTAGCCGCTACGTCTCCGTTGCCCGGCAGTTTTCCGTGATCCTGCTCTAAGTGCTGCGCACGAACGCTTGACACCATAGAGCGTTCTCTTGTTCAGCATGCCGCAAATAGGAACACGACGGTTTCGCAACGCACTGCACCCCTGTCTGCGCGTCATTTGTCTCGTGAGACTGCAAGTCAGAGCTGTTCAGCGGTATTCAATGAGCTGAACAGTGGAACAGAACATGAGTCTCAGATGCGGAGAAAGTTCAGGAAAAGTTCGCGAAAAGTTAAAAAAAAATTTTTCCACTTCGATTGCTACGCAAAGACTCCTACCAAGTGCCATTTAGCGGCGTCTATTATGCGCACTGCGCGGTGCTGCCCGAGCAGCGAAGCGTCGCTCTGATTGCGCAGCAAGACTTTAATGAACTCGGCCGTGTGGCCCACGAGCGAGCCGTCGCGCGGGTTCACCTCGTCTATCCAGACCGGCACCGTCGTGGAGCGGTAACGGTCAAACGTTTCGTACGAGGCGAACGCTTTCGTCATCTCGCGGCTGCGCAGCTTCACGGTGGGCGTCGGTACGCGCTTCATGGCTGCCGCGATGGTGCCCGGCCGCGGGTAGAACTGCGAGATGTTCACAACGGGCAGCCGCAGGTTTTCCAGCAGTGACAGCGACTCCGCATGTTGCGCGTCCGTTTCGCCGGGGAACCCGCAGATGAAGTCCGTCGCGACCACGATGCCGCGCACGTTCTCGCGGAGCGCTGTGCAGCAGCGCAGGAATTCTTCGCGCGTGTACTCGCGGTTCATCGCCGCAAGCACTGCGTTGCTGCCCGACTGCACCGGAATGTGAATCCACTTAAACCAATGCTTACGGTTGAGCACGTCGCAAATTTCGGGCAGCTGGTCCAGAATGTACGGCGGGTTCGTCATGCCGATGCGCACCATCACGCACTTCTCCGTGAGCGGTTCCGTCGCGACCAGCGCGTCGTCAATTTCGTAGAGCAGGTGCGCCAGGTTCAGGCCGATGTCCAATCCCCATGCGCCCGTGTCTTCGCTCGTCAGCCAGATCTGCTGCACGCCGTCGGCCACGGCAGACTTTACGCGCTGCACGATTTCTGCCGGGTGAAAGCTGCGCAGCTGCGCGCGCGCAAAGCGCGTTTTGCAGTACGTGCAGTTGCCCAAACAGCCAGAGGAAATCGGAATGATCTCCACTAGCGCGTTGCGGCGCAGGTGCGGCAGCGTGAGCGTCGAAGCGTTCGGCCGCTGCGCGACACACCGATACACCGTGCCCTTCATCGTCTCCAGCACGGCTTCGCCGATCTGACCTAACTGCTGTACGCCGATGCAGCTGAAGCCGGCGAGCGCACGGTTGTGCACGTCCGCCTGCACTACACAGCCCGCCAGCACGACGAATTTGCCGCCTGCGCGACACGTCGTCGCGAGATTCAGAGCCGAAGACTCGCTCGGGTTCTTCACCGTGCACGAGTTTACGACAACCACGTCGCCGTCTGCCAACTCGGACACCACGCTGAAGCCGTGCGCTTTCAGCACGCCCTGCATAGTTTCGCCGTCCGCTACGTTGTGCGAACAGCCGAACGTCTGTACGTACACGCGAATGTCAGACAGAGCCCGAATGTTCCGCTCCTTGAAGCTCGTGTGCTCAAAATCTACGCAGTCCACCGCGCTTATTGGAAGCCGCTCCAAACCCGAGTCCTCCGCTATTAGCTTGCCCGCGACGCCATTTTCCAAGCCTCGGCTGCTCACCGCGCCGCGCGCGGGCGCCTGCGTCGAAACAGTCGGCGCTGCAGCTGCGTTCGTTGCTTGATCCGCGCAACTGTCACAGGGTCCGCCCACGCAGTCGCACGACTCAGATGGCGAAAGTGCGTCCGGCGCGGTCGCGGCGGCGCCGCGCTGCGCACTGCTCGCGCAACCGGCGTCTGCAGCAGCGCCTGTCGTCCTTTCGAGCGCGGCAGCTGTGCGTCTTGCGCAACTCTGCGCGGCACGCAGTCCGCTCGCAGCAGCGTTGCCGAAAGCAAGCGACTGTGTGCGCTGATCAGTTGCACGCGTGCTCAAGACAAGGTTCGCGCGGAGCCGCTCGCGGCAGTGCGCGGACAACGTCAAACAGTTTGTAAACTGCAAACTGGCGCGCCGCGGAAAACTCCCTAGGCACCCCAGACGGCTCGCCTTCGCGGCAGCGGAGGCCTGCGCGTCTCCGCTGCATTGCGCTGCCGCCATCGAGCCAACAATAAAAACGCTTTTCTGCCCCGTTAAATCACAAATGCCGATTCTGTCTCCGCCTTGCTGCGCCACGGCGCAGAGACCGCACAGAACCTCGCGCTTCGCGGCGACTCCGCGGGAACCGAGCTAAAGAGACGTCAAAAAAAATTAATGAATTCTGACTGACCTCGCGAACGCGTTTCGCGCCCAACCATGTTTACCGCTCAGGCGCTGGCGCGACTCCTCACAATCAGCTGGCCGCTCGACGAGAACGGCAAAAATGCGCTGAACTTCCGCTACGTCGCCCACAGCCTGCGCACCGGTGCCTTCGATCCGCGGGCGCGCTTCGGCTGCAACGCTTTCCTCGTGCAAAGCGTTGCCGACGCGACTATCTGGATGGTCAACAGTCTCGTGCTCTTTTTCGTTTTCCACGTCATCAGCACCTGGCTCGTTGCGTGGAGCACTAGCTTGCTGCTCGCGCTGGCGTGCAGCGTCCTCGCTCTGCAGCTCTTCGCTGTAGAAGCCACTTTGCTCATGTGCTTGCTCGGCGCGCTAGTCGTTGCGCAGTCCTACCTCGTCGCCGGGTCCGTGAAAGACGTTAGCAGCCTGACCATTGTCTTCATGATGTTTCGCTTCGCGCTGCTGTTCTTTTCAGGCCTGAAGCCTGCCGCGCAAGCCGCGCTCGTAGTCCTGCTAGATGGCTTCCGCCTGGCGCACATCTTCACTACAGAGACCTTGTTCGTTGTGCGCTACGTCTACTTCGCAGCGCTCGAAACGCTCATCGGCTTCTGCCTCGCACACATCCTGTACCTCGTCGCGACCGAGATTCTCTACTGCTACGTCAACCGCAACGCCGCTTTCTACCAGCTGCCCTTCCTGCGCTCGATGGCTGGCCGCGTCGCGGAGCGGTTTGAAGAGTTCGTACTCGAAGCGCTCGCGTATGAAGCCGCGCATGGCGAAGCTGCGCGAGACGCAGCCGCCCGTTATCTGTTCCACACTACTGACCTCAAGGGCAAACTCGAGCTGTTTGAGCGCAAAGTCGCTGCGCGCAACGCCACTTTCTCGCGCAAACATCGCAGCGCGTTGCTGCTGTTCCTCGCCGAGCAGGACTGCGCCGCTCTCGGCGAGCTGATCCAAGAATCGCTGCGGCTTAAACTTGGCCGCATCCAGTTCGTCAGCAACGTTGTGAATCGCGCGCTGCACCTGCTCGCTCACGACGACGCGCCCTGCGCCGCAAGCGCGCAAGGCGACGCACCCCAGCGCCGTCGCAGTGAGCCTGCACCTGAGCCGGAAGGCTGCGACACGGTCGCAGCGTTTGCGCACTTAGACTTCGATGCCCTGTTCAGCAGCGGTACCGCGTGGAACTACACCGACGATGAAATTGCGTGCGTTTCGCGACGCGTCGACCCCACGCGCTTCTTGAACGATCTATCTGCGGAACCGCAGCTGCGCGCCCGAGAGCACTGCTTGACGCGCTTGTTTCGCGCGCTAAGTTTGGCCAACAGCGACTACAATCTCGTGATTAGCTACGCCGGCAGACTCGTCGCGTTTGGCGACAAGCCGAGTTACGGGTTTTGGGGTTTCGCGGAACACGACGTGGAGCGCGCCTGTCTGCTCTGGATCAGATCGGCGTGCGCGCGCATTCTGTACTCGGCGCGCTACTGGCTGCTTGCCATCGAAGTGTTCTTCCTTCTGTACTCCATCGACTTCTTCGTCGTGCTCCAAATTCACGACATTCACTTTTTGAAGAGCAACGCGGTGCTGATCTTCCTCTGGTTCTGGAGTCTGTTCCTGCACGCCGGTTCGGCTGTTCACATGTTTCTCGCAATTCGGAAAGCCAAAACAAATCAGCTCGCCGGCGTGCTGCGAGCGACTCGCGTATTTTTCTTCGTGCAGCTCGCGCAGCTGTGTTGTAAAGTGCTCGTCCGGACTCAATTTGACTACTACCGAACTGCCTCGCTCTCCACCGTCTTAGACCTAGTGCTGCTCCGACAAACCATCTCGGTGTTTCACTTGTTCGTGCGCAAAGGGCTTTGGCTGTTTCTCTCGCTCACGTTCATGCTATGTCTCGTAGCGCTCGCAGTAGGCATCGACGGAGACATCCGCATTGATGCAATTGATGTTTACTGCTTCATCAACCACACGATGCTGACGTTCGGTCTGGCGCTCGTTCCGATGGAGTATATTCTGCGGCATCTGTTCAACTTAACCTGCGTCGAGCGGTACAAGTTTTTCCGAACCGTGCTCGACTCTAAAATTCCGCCGATTACAGTGCAATAAAGCGCGACGCTGTGCGCGGGCGGTTCACAACGCTCACGCCGATCCTGCTTGTGTGGCGACAGTGCCACTTCATCAGTCCTCGAGGGACACGATGTTGCGCAGGTACGTCTGGATTTTTGCCAACTCGGAGCACAGCACCGCTCGTGGCGCCTTCTTGGTGCCGCTGAGCCCGAGCAACTCGCAGAGCGAGTCGATCGTTTCGTTGTCTAGCGCGTGCAAGTCGTTGTCGAGAAACTTGAACTCCCTGTGCGCTCTGCTGCCGGCGACGCTGAGCGCGTCGCTGCTTGCATTGTTGCTCGCATTGGTGCTCGTATTGTTGCTCGCATTGTTGCTCGCATTGTTGCTCGCATTGCTGATGGCGTTGCTGATCGCATCTGCGCGCGGCTTGCTGCGTCCGAATGGCTCGCTCGGCAGCGTGGCGGTGGTGGACTGGACTTCCGACTCGGTGACTGTCGGTTTGAAGATCTCATTTTCCACGCGCGGCTCAGCCGTCAGTTCCGACTGCGCGACTTTGCCTTCAAGCAGGCGCGAGCTGTCGGGTGCGAGCGAACTGTGCGTGGCGTCCGCTGCCAACGGGCTTGGCTCAAACGTGCCGCACTCGACGAAGTCTTTGTTGTTGGAGACCAGTGGAAGCCTCAGCTCGGTGCGCAGCTCTTCTACACCTGCGGCCGACGCGTCCGTGCGAAGCCCCGCCGCTACGCAGCTCGCGCGTCGGACACATTCCTCGCGGCTGGGCGACGCGCATCCGTAAGCTGCGTGCTCTCCGGAAAGCAGCGCAATTTGTTGCGCGAGGACGCTTTTCTGTAGTTGCCAGCGCCGCACGCTTTGACTCAGCCGCTCGGTTTTCGGCGAACTGAGGTCGTCGATGTGCTTCGACAGAGGCTCTGCGCAGGGCGAATCCGCGCCGCTCAAAAATGCCTCCGCGGCGAGCCCGAGCAGCTTCGCCGCCGCCTCTAGCTTCGCCGCCAGTTGCTCGTCTTGCGCTGGCTTGGGCGAGCCGAGCATCGCTCTACCCAGCTCTAGCGCTGAGTGGAGGGTCTGATCAACTATTGCCGCGTAGGGTTGAGCCTCTGACAAATTCATGTTGAGGGTTGGCTGCGGCGGCCCAGGCGGTTTTGCGGTAGTTCGAACATAAATTTTATAAAGCGCAGTGCGCTGCGAAGTATTTTCGCGGCAATAAAACAGATTTACAAACTCTTGGTGCGGGAAACGTACGACTCCCCGGTCGTCTGGTGCGCGTTGTAGCACTTCTGAATCACTGCGTCTTGCTGCGCTATGAAGTCCAGCAAAGCCTGCTTATCGATTTCGAAGATGCTGCCCTGCACGATGATTTCGTCCATCAAATAGTACAGTGGGATGAAGTTGTAGACGAGGTCTAGCTCGCAGACGTTCTCGAAGTACGAGTCGAGCGTCTCGACCAAATTCTGGACGAAGTCGATCACGGTCAACACGTTCTCGTCATCGTCGATTCCGATGACGAAGTACAGACTCGCGTAGCGCCGGAAGACGAAGCGAGCGAACGCGGTCTCAAGCACCGTGCAGCCGTGGATCGGCCGGTTGAGCACCTCGCGCGTGAGGTGAGCAATAGTCTTTTGTTGCGCGTCGATGCTGCGCTCGTCGTAGAAGCGGCTGAATCGCAACTTTCCGAGCCGCGAGATCAGCACGCAGAAGGTGATCATGCGCTACTGCGGCTTGCGCCGGAGGGTTGCTTCGCGCAAAAGTGGTAGCGCGACGAAGAACAGCGCGACGGAAGCCCCCCAGAAAAGTTTTTTAGTGTGCGAAAGGCTGAATCCTTGGGTCTCGTGGCTGACAGAAGGCTTTTCTTCGGCGGAGCGTGAATTTGCCTGCATTAAAAGCAAGTTAATTTAATAAATTGCTGCCGCTTGCGAGAAACGAACGAGGAAACGCTGCATTTCCACGTACTTGGAAACTGTGGAATTTAATTCATTGTTCGCACCGCGCGATCGGATAGCGCGCGGATTTCGCGATCGGCATGGCGGCGCAGCCTGGAAGTTGGGTGCGTAAGTGGGCCTAGCGCAGCAGTAGGTGCGGCGGCGTACGTGTTGGCTTGTTCCGTTTTTGTGGCGCTGGCCGAGCGGTGCAAGCTGA